TGATGAGCTGGAAGTCAAAAAACCGGTGACGTCTTGCCTTCTTGTCCCCGATACAGCACTAACAGCGGACAGGATTGCACTTGTCCACAGGACAAACCTGTCTGCGGATACACTGAAGATGATTGTGCTCTGCACAAAGGTATGTGGTTCCGCTGGCTTTCAGATGGTTCATTCGCTCAGTCAAGTAGAAGCCGTCATTTACAAGGTTTATCGCGGTTCACCCAGGAGGTTGATGCGTGTCTGCGACCGGCAGCGCGGCCCACCTACGCGTCGCCAAATGCTGTGCGCATTGCTTGGGATATGGGGTGAAACTATGAGATCATTCCTCTTCCCGGACGAGGAGGTTGTGGGGCTGCGTCTTCCATCTGATCCGCCCCTGCAGTGCCTGCTGGATCAGCAGACCCGGTGATTTTGGAGCATATATGTCCCGTTTTTCTCGCTTTTGACAATATTGTGACAGGCCCTGAAGTTTTGGTGTTGCATGGTTGCAACCATATTGTGGTCTCTACCACATCTACCACATCAGTTGCACAAATTATGTATCTTACATGTACATGAACATTTAATTACATTTCTTGGTCCACTTGTTTGTACTGTTTGCATCTGTACGCAACTCCAAAGCGAAAATTCCTAGGCAGGATCGGATGTCGCACTGCCACTTGATCTCCCATCATTTACGCGCATGTGACGCACACCTGATCATGTCACCAATTCTTTCGTTTCCGAAAGCTTTCATGGCAGAAGGAGACGCAGGCCCACTGCCTGGTCCTCGACCTCCAGGTCCTCCCGCTCTCCCTTTGAAGCCAGGCCATCGCAGCGACTCAGTAAGGGTGTCCGATCCCCGCCGCCGCGTCGCAAGATCACCGCCCACATTGCGCGAATCGCCGCCGCCACCGCGTGGTCTTCGAACTCCGGAGCGTGGAGGTAACCCCTTCCGCTTCGCGACACCCTTCCATGCCAACATGCCTCCGGTCCCCTCCTCGACGACTGGTCGATTTCCGAGCAAACTGATGTCCGTTCGAGCACTCCAATCCGCCCACAGCACCGCGCGTGGTCAAAACGTCGGGGGGTCACAGCGTGCACAGCTTGCGCGTTCTGCGCCATTCCCTCCCAAACTCAACGTGGGGAATCTCATCAAAATGGATCTGGACTTTGTTGCTCCTGCACAATCGCCATCTCCTCCCTCAGGATCACTCCACCTACCAGCCCCGCCCCCGCCGCTTTCCGTTGACCCGCAAAACCTTTCCCAGGCTCCGCCGAAGACGGGTGACGCGCATATATCCGAGTGGGATGTTCTTCCAATAAATGCCTTGCGTGGCTCCTGGGTCACGGCAGAGCAGGACAGGATGGGTCCATGGGCGGTGTTCGAGCCCGACGAGCATCGGATGCTGTTCCCTGAAACCCTGCTTTGTTTTGGCACCATAGAAGGTTTCAACCTGGAGCATGATCGGGACCTGCTCGTGTTTTTCGAGCTTCGGGAGGTGGAGAGGGCATGTGAGCATCTGTTGCGGCTCTACGGGGATGTCCGATGTGCCGAATGCCAACACTTGGTTGGGGGACTCGGGTGGGCTGGTTATAAGGTGAATCAGGTTCACGGTTGCGTTAAGAGCACCAAGCTCTGTAAGGGATGCGCGCCATTCGTTGGAAGGGATGACAGAATCATGCCGGTGAGGCTAATTTCGTATTCACCACCTGAGTGACACCTCACACTTAGTCTTGTACCTGCCCCAATGATGTTTGTGTCCTCGCCTCTGCAAGTAGTGACTGTCCACGGCATGACGGTACTACCTTAGACCCGGGGGCTTCCGTCTTTCTGACAGTGTCATAGTACCGACTTTGTACAAGATGCCTGCCCACATACCTCGCAAGGTAGTACCACATTTTCGACGTCACGTGGATTGGGACTGGGACAAGACACTGGCCCAATCAATTCGCGGGCATCTGCATGTCCGTGCGTCAATGTTGAACCCACAGTGCCCTGTTGACTTGTGGCGTCGAGGGTCCGACCCTCCGATCCCGCCTGGACATATCTCTCGTAGGTTATCTTGGCCATCTGTTCGGAAATGACAATGATTCAAACGTCGCTTGCAGGAACAGTGCAGGAGAGGCGTTTTCATGGGATTTTGTAAGGAATATTTAGTTTGTTTTTCAATGATGTTCCAGCGTTTTCTACCATCCATATCAACACTACCGCGATTGCTATATAGATCATTGTGATTGCTGAGTCGAACCAGCCCTGGTTTACATTGAGTCTGAATACCAAGATTGAAATCCTAGTGGTTGGTCGCGACTGCTTGGCAGCGAGAGGGAGGTTGCGACCCCCCAACGTTCTTAATTTGGTCGCGACCATCCTACATTGAATTGGCTATGACGGGCCTCCTGCGAGGATGGCAAGCCGATCAGGGTGATTGAAGCATGGTGAAAGGCTGTCATATAGAAGATGAAAGGGATACAAACAGCCTGCAAGGGCAATGGGAGCATTTTCCAAGGCATGCATGGAGGATGGTTCCGCCCAGCCTCAACGGAGTGGTTAGAACCACCCATCCGCCAGAATGATTTTTCCTGGCCTGCACCTGGCTGGGTGGCCAAACAGAGGTCCCTGCAGGGAAAGAAGTGGAAAAACACCTGCTGCGCCCGTGTACACGCTGAATGGCCCATACGAGCAGTGTAGAATAGTCGTGGGAGTATTTCAAATGTTTTTCTACAGCTGGCCCTGAACTGAGTTCAGCATCCTGGGCTTGGAACAGGCTAGATTGACCTCCAGGGTACTTGAGTGAAAGTTCAAAAGCGAAAACAAGCCACCTGCAAGGGGAATGGGAGCATTTGCCAATGCACGCGCAAAGGGTGGTTCCGCCCAGTTTGAAATGTAAGTGGTCGGAACCGCCCATTTGCCCAATGTGCGCTTTCAGGCCTGCCCTGAATTGAGTGCAGCCTCCTCGGCTTGGCATGGTCAATATTTCGTACCAATGTACCCGTCGAGAGGCTGTATGGCCTGTACAAGCAGCCTAGACAAGCAATGGGAGCATTTTCGAAAATTTCTCTTCCTGGCCTACAGCTGGCCCTGGGACTGGCCCCAGCATTCCTGCCTTGCGATGGGCTAAACAGTGCCGATCTACAAGCGAGTAGCCCGATACAAACAGCTGGCAAGGGTAGCTGGAGGATTCGCAAATGGGTGAGGAAAGGGTGGTTCCGCCCAGTTTCAAATGTCAGTGGTCGGAACCACCCACTTTCCCAATATGTGCTTTCTGGGCCTACAGCCCCCCTGCGGCCGGGCACAGGGTCCCGGAGTATATATACGGTAGGTACGCATCCATGGATCCCTGAGACAAGCGAGATTGCGCAAAGAAGCAGCCTAGAGCAGTAATGGGAATATTTCGAAAATTTTCTTTCCCGGCCTATGGCCGGCCCTGGGACGAGGCGCAGCATCCTCGGCTTGGCATGGGCTATATTCCGTACCCATGTACCGGTCAATCAGCTATATGGCCTGTACAAGCAGCCTGGAGTGGAAATGGGAGCATTTTCGAATTTTTTTTTCCTGGCCTACGGCTGGCCCTGGGACTGGGCCCAGCATTCCGGCTGTGCAATAGGCTGAATAGTGCCTGTCTACAAGCTAGTAGCCCGATACAAACAGCTGGCAAGGGTAGCTGGAGGATTTGCAAATGGTTGAGGAAAGGGTGGTTCCGCCCACATTCCGCTCCCCTGGGTCAAAACCACCCACCAGAGCGAGCGCGGGGTGGTCGCAACCACATGCGGTCGGGACCACCACTGGTGCCACCACGGGTCAAATAATGGTCCTGACCACCAGGAGCTGAATGGGGATGGGTGTGACCAACTGGCGAAAACTGGTCGAGACCGCCCTTTTTTAGTGGTCCAGATGGCCTGGCTACCCGATTTGGGAAGGGTGGTTGTAGCCAAAAAGCGGTTGGTCTGAGACCACAAAGTGGTCTTGGACCCTCTTAAGGCTAAAAAACGACCACTTTTGGTACCCTATTAGGGTCACAGACCATACTGACTGGACTGGCTGCACTGTGGAAGAAATCAAATGCAGATGTTGTTCTCGATGCATTTGAAGCGTCTATGAACTATCTATCGTTTACTCTGCAGCAGCTCGTTGTCGAATTTGAGACCAACCTCCACAACTTGAATAAACTCAAGGAGCAGTTAACCATTCTCCACGAGATCGTCACACGAGAGGATATCTCCCTGTCTGCAGCCAAATCCAAGCTTCTCTCCAATCTTTGGACCATTCTGGGTGGGAATCGCAGACAGCTGCATGGTTATGAGAGTCATTTGGACCTTTTGAGCCATCTGGGGAGTTATCGCAGACAGGCACTGGTCCATGTGGTCTCGGCCCTGCAAACCCTTACTCAGATGGGTGAAGACATTGAGAATGTTCGGGAGCAAGTGGCTGCACCCAAGTTGACTGGCGGAAGAATTCCTGCTCAGGTGCACATGAAGAGCATTCAGAATGGGCTTGAGCGCATCAAGGAGGGAAGGGCAAAGGCCAAGGAGAAGGAAAATTACGCTGTGCGCTGCATTGTTGGCGGACTAAACTTGTAGACATGCAACATTTGATATGTTCGTAGAACTATGTAATGAAACCATGTCTTGTTGTCCAAGTAGTACCAATGAAATGCTATTCAATTTGTGTAATAGACAGATAAGATGATAAGATTAAGTGCATTTGTCAAATATGAGGCTGAGTACGCAATGAGCGTGTTTGATGGTAATCACGTGATATCGGCTTCTTCTGCTTTCTTGGCTCTTTCCGCTGATACCTCTCACTCAAACCTTCTCCTTGACTGCATCACGTATCTGGTTTCAGGTGTTTGCCACCAGAACCTAGCATTCTTTTTTCTCAATGGTATCAACTGTTATCAGGTGTTTGACACCGGTATCATTGACGCAGGCTTCACATCTATTGGACGTTTGCCGTTGATAGCTAATTGGCGGAGGACAGACAGGCTTTTCATTGTAGCGTAATCTACAAGTACTGCGTACTACAATCTCATGCGCTCGGTTGCTGCAACAAACAACACAAAAGCCTGCTTCGACACCTTCACCTCCTTGAGCTCCTTCGCGGAGAGCGACTTGAGCCAGCTCTTGTTGTACAGATCCTCCGGCAGTTCCTTGGGGATAGAGCGGGTTCCATGGTCTTGGCTTCGAATGCGGGGAGCAGGCTTTGTGCCCATTTGCAGCGTTTGGAAGTGCCCTGTCTGAGCGTCAACCATCTGCATGTAGTTGACGATGACTGTGATAGGCTGGCTACCAGACAGGCTCTGCACCAGCTCTGTAAGGGCATATTTTTGCGCTTTTTACAGAGTTTACTCTTGAACCACTCGGTGTATCATGTCGCGGATGACAGTGTTGCGCTCAGTAGGACTTAAGGGTCTACTGCCCAGTCGACGACTGTGGATAGTGTCGACGATAGCAAGGCAGTCAGACCACTACTGTGGAATTGGTCTTATGAGTCTACACCAGGCTCAGGGCTATTAGTGACGAACGCTTGGACTGCGACCATTCCCCAAAAAGGGATCTGTCGTTGCGTCGACTTCTCGAAAAGGGTCATTCTCTGCAGATGGGAACTTGGGCTGAAGGGCTGAGCAATGTGCAACGTTCTCAATAATACGACTACTACTGGACAGGACTTGGCGTTACAAGATTGAACCAATCTTGTCGCGGCAACTCCCAGTTTTGAGTTGGACATTTCCTCAGATCATGCCACGACGACGACTTGTCACATGTCAGGATCCATTCGATCACGGGACATTGTGGACGCGTCACGGTGACACTTCCAAGTGTCACGGCGAGTCACGTCCATACCCAAACACACTAAAATCGACACGGCTAGATCCGTGAACCAAGCCATGTGGGGACGACTGGCGTGCCTAGGGCCATACGGCTTCTTGGGGCGCCCACGTTGGACTCACCTGCCAAGACATACCCGTTGGCCAATCCAGCACGTCATATTCCAAAAGTATGACGCGGTGGGTTGACCCACATCAAAAGTATCATATGGACTATGGGGCGGGGTCCTGATCACTCAGGGCCTGTCCGATCGTTCAACTTTTCAATTACCCTAAAAGGCAACCGATCTTAGATAGCATAGCTACTATGCAGTTGTACAGGACTTTACTAAGCATCGTCGTAGACAGTATAAGTAGCACGTCATTTCTTTGTATTAAAAAGCTTTCCGCCGGACTGTGAATCACTCTCATTTCAGATTGTTTTGTACAATTTGCGTGCCGCGTGATTCCACCCTAAGAAGTTCTGCCACCCCTGCCCGGTTGCAACGAGTTGCTCCCTGAGCACTTGTAGCTACTGTGATTCGAGTTTGAGTTGAGACATCAGAAAGTCGGATTTGCCGCATCTGGTTTAGTTGTGGCACTCAGTGTCGTCGCCTTCGGGCTTTGTTGAGATCGTTCCACACCTCTAGCTTGGCAGTGCGTCGACTAGTTGTGCTCGGGTTGTTTTGGTCAGTTGGCAGTGCGTCAACTTGAGAACTTTGGTTCCACACTTCTTGCTTGGCAGTGCGTCAACAAGTTGTGCTCGGGTTTTGGACATTGGATATTGGCTGTTAGTTGGCAGTGCATCGACGCGGCATTTTGGTTTACTAGTTGGCAGTGCGTCGACTCAGTACTTTTGGTTGTGTCAGTTGGCAGTGCGTCGACTTGATATTTGGGCTTTGCGTCATCATCTAGACGCTGTCGCTACAAGGGATCTTAATACTTCGTATTAAGTTCTGACTTGTTATATTGTTGGTTGTGGATTGGATTAGTGTTGGTTGTGTTCGTATAGAAGATATTGGTTGAGACACCATTGTTTACTATATATATATTCTTGTCGTCGACTCTGTCTTCCGCGACTATTGGATCTGCGTCTATTGAGAGTTGTGATACTGGTGCTCTGTCCACCTCAAAGCCCTCGCATCTTTCACACACTGAGAAGCTGATTACGAGGAGTGTGAACGTGTTTATATTTGGGTTTACTTTCATAGTAGATTCACTTGTGAGCACGCCCTCAGCATTTCAACGGGCTCCCACCATACACACAGCTTGATTTTGTATGCTCTCATCTTCGCTCCTCCTTTGTGCGTAGCGGCTGCTTCTTCTTCCTCAGACATGCTGCTCGGACCAAGTAACTTCAAGAGTTCCAGCATCCTCTCCCAAGTAGGAAGATTGTTTGCATTGTCCTCTTCCTTCAGAGTGATCGTCGCCTCGATAGTGCTGAGGCGGTGATTATATTTCTGATGCTATATATCAGTGGGAGCATTGCCTTGGAGAGGAGATACATACATCATATTGAGCGTTTATTGTCTTGGACGACAATCGGCGGTACCTCAAGATTGCCTGGCCGCGGGCCATCGCTTCTGCCGTGGTCTCCATATGATCCTTCTCCACATCCCACTTCGGTTGGAACTGATTCCATTCGGCGCAATATCTAGTGAGCTGCTCAGCCACAACATACTCAAGGAACTTGCACTTGATGAGACCCTTTTGCAGATATCTCTGGTCGCGATTATTGTTCTTCTCGGCCTTGGCAACAAGACGTTCCATTTGCGCCACGTTCCAGGCCGAGCCGGTATAGCCCTTGCTGAAGTCAAACTGCCATTTTGTGATGTTGGCCGAGGGATCTTCGGCAAAGGCTTTGACTTCCTCCTCAGTAGCAGGAACGTCGAAGATGAAGTCTGTGGCCACTTCATAACCGAACATCTCATACATCGTCTTCTGCATCATTGCCTGCATTCTGTGAGTACATTTGCGACCTGCAAACATCCTTGACTCACATGTGCCTTGTTCACCAGCTCGGCCATGTTTGGGGCAACAGCTGCTTTCTCTTCTGACTTTTGATTGTTGTGCTTCTCTGTGACAATCAACCCAAAAACAAAGTCGAAAAGGGAAGTGAATTCGAAGACTGGAGAATACGACCAAGTAGCTATAGTATTTATACCCAAATCCAGTCTGAGTCATATCTACAACTAATGAGTCATAAGGCTATGTACCGCATGGAGCACTGGTCATGGGTTGTAGTAGAACCTTCCGGAGCATATGTTGCACAGCCTCGAATCGATAAGGATAATCCCTGGAACCCCTAGCCCAGACCGTCTGATGCCATGATCCATGATAAGATAAGAAGGTCAATGATAAGATGAAAAAGGACTGAATTATGACAGTGCTTCATCTCTGTGCTGGTCATTACCTTGGATACTGAGGAGTGTTTGAAGGAGGAAGCTTCCAGAGTCTCTGGTCCTTCCTCCACTGCCAAGATGTGTGTCTGCCGCTGCTACCAAAGCAAAGCTTAGTACTAGTGCCAAGGCAAAACCTGCTGCTGCCGCTGCAAACATTTCCTCTCCCCCTACTAAGCTGGAACGGCCCAAGCCAAAGCCAAAGGTGAAGGCAACTCCAAGAACCAGCAAGTCCTTGAAGCAGCAAGGTGGAGGAGGTCAACCGGTGGTAGAGATCTATCAACAAGATGGTCCTGAGTCAGAGGACGTTGATGATGTAGATCTGCCTGAGCTTGAAAATGCTGAGCCCTTCAACTCCAAGCTGCTGCACTGGATGCCTACAGAGGAGCATGCCCAGATCAAGGAGCAGCGTGTTCAGAACAAGCACCTCACGGCCAAGACTGCACATGTGAAGGCTGAGAGTGCACATCTGCAGAGGGAGTTGAAGATACCCAAGGATGGTGGTGACTACTACCAGACTGTGCCTCATACTCCTTCTGGTAGGGAGTAGGTTGGCTCCGTCTTTGATGTCCATTAAGGGGACACATCAGATTGATTCACTATGGACCCAACAGGGGTCAGTGACTCACTTCAGCATCAACATGTCTATCTGCATCATCAAGACTGTCAACCTGTGACTGGTCCTTCTCACCTTGCACAGTAGGTGTGTACACCTCCATACATAGCAGCGCTGAGAACAGGCCCATAGCTATCTAGACAATTCATACATCCCCAATTGCTGGAGAAAGAGGGCTACCCTGCACAGGCAAGATCTAAACATTGCATTGGGCTGTACCCGCCAGGCTTGTTGAGCTACCACCAATAAATGTGGCCACCATAGTGAAAAGAAGAGGAGAAGAATGTATCCCCAGTACAACAGATTCAGGGGCCAGTCACAGTGACACACTCCCACCAAATCCAACCACCATGTTCCCTCTCACATCGTCTTCCTGGGCAGACCCAGCTGTGTTCTCATTCAGCAGTGCCAACAACAATGCTCACAATGTGCGCCTCTGCCACAGCTTAGCTGCACTGACTTGCTCAGGTCCAAGCACAGTCAGTCCTGAATTCACTAATCACCAGTGGGCATGCCACCCCGCAGGGTATTGCAGAAGTCCAAGGGTTCTTATGGCTTTGTCCTCCCAGTTGCCTGTCAGAGATCCAGGAATTGTTTGACAGCATGAAGCACAATTTGGATTCTAATATTCCCCACATTGTTGTGCATGTCCAATCCTTCTCCCCCACAAACACAAACTATTCCACAGTACTGCAACCCTTCCCCTGGTGTCGAACTATATTATTACAACATTCCCAATACCAAAATCCACATCCTTTCCACAAAATGCTCCTTCCCCACAGCCCCGCTTATGCAAACATTGCCTTCTAGTGGCAGTTCTACATCTGTTCGAGCACATCTCAGGACATGGACCACATACCTGTCATCAGCTGGAAGGTTCCTTTGATAGCAAGTGTGGGATATTGATTGACGTGCCACCAAAGTGAAATCCGCATCATAGCACAGCTTGACTTTTTCCTGTCAACAACCACTCAGCCGTACTCCCCCTATCATGCACGGGACTACACTACCACTATAGGCAGACTGGTATGAGACCCTAACAAGATGGTCAAATGGGTCATTTTTGGTACCCGAGTAGGCAGCAACCAACTTCCATGTGGGTAGGGGGGAACCCAGGGTAAATACGTTGGTCAAGACCAAACAAAGAGCAGGTGGTACCTACCACACAGACAGAATCAGTGGTTCCAACCAGGTTATGAGATGAAGCAGTGGTCGGGACCAAACACCGGCAAATGGTGCCTACCATGCAGAAAGAATCAGTGGTTCGAACCAAGGTATGGAATGTGGTATTTGCTGCCCTGGTACCGTGCAGATATCGAAAATGAATTTTTGTGTGATCAGGGCGGTACTGCACATATGACGGGTATGGGCACAGGTGTAAGCCCGGTGGACTCACACGCATATTATCACATCACATTACCGTTACGTACATAGGATAGAGGACCCCTCAGCTTACTGCCGCACTGCATATACATCCCCACGCAAGGGACTTTTCACTAGTTTCTCGCCCGCCCTTTTCTTCCGTCTCCTCCCTTTGTCCTTTCCCAGTGTTCCTTGGCGTACAGGTACGCCCAGGCTTCCAACAGGCTGGAGCGTTGCAGCACTCTGACCACTGCTACAAGCACCCTGGAGGTCTGTGTGCAGCTATAGGAGCCCCCAGTGCTGTTTGCAGGCCATATGTTGGGTTGCAATCTAGCTGGTATTGCTGCACTCTGCCAACTGTTAAAACCCCCTGGAGGCCACCAGACAGCACTGCAAGCGCAATCACCTCTGCATCAAATTGATGCTGTGCCGCTCTCAATTGTTTTTTTGCTCAACCCTTTCCAGCCACAGTCCCTGAATCCTGCATTAATCTCAATCCCTTCCTGGCACTCTGGGTGTGTGCCCTTCACAACTCCTGTTGAATACATGGACATTGTCGCAACTGATGTATTCTGGGACCCACAGTCCCAATCAGCATCTTGTACTGGGCACTGATCATGACCAAACTTCTTTTGACACTGCCTTCACTACTTACTCCGTACCGAGAGGTCCCAACCCCTCCACTTCAGCTTCACAGATGCAATGGCACCACTCACTCCTCTGTATCGAGTGATCCTAACCACTCGCCTTCCTTTAATGTGGTCTCGACCAGTTTCTCTGAGATCCACTGGTCCCCACCAATCCCATCCTGTTGGCATGGTCACAACCGTCATTTGGTGTTGAGTGGCAGCAGCCACTTTCCCCCAGTTGTCGTGGTCCCAACCACTGTTCATGACGTTGTTTGGTTCTGACCACTGCCTTCCCACCAGTATGGTCCCTACCATCACACTTCAACCAGTGGTAGCAGCCACTCTTCATTCAACACAGTGGGTGCAGCCACCTTTCTCTCTCATACAGTTGCAACCAACCTGTGGGATCATCTCCGGACTTGGCTCAAATTGCCACTGGAGCCTACTGCAACCACTCACAGGAAGCCAATGGTACCAACCAGTATCTTTTCCTGACTTGACATTGTCAAAAAATGTCCTGGCATTGAAAAGCTACAAAGTGCTTGCTACTGAGACATATAGCTAGGAAGTTCATCATGTGAGGCAACATATTAGGTTCAAAAAACTTGATGAATGTAAACTAGGTTTTGTCAAATGTCAAACAGATCCCATGCAAGGCCGTCATCCTCTTCAGAAACGATTTGAGTGGAGCAGAAAATGGATTGACATCTACAATGTCACCATTCCTTTGTTGCTGATGCTTTTTCACATCCACCTTGGCCAACTCAACATTGGAGGGACCCCAGCGAGTAACAAAGTCCCCCGCAGGAAGCAAGCTCTGCCACACAGCACAGAGTGCAACAAGCCTCGTCCTGCGGATTTGGAATTGGAATTGAAGGGCATCACAATCTGTTGTGGTCAGGTTGGTCAGACACTGAAGCAGCAAGGACTCACCAGCGGATTTGAGTGCCCAATTGACAACCAACCACTCCTCTTGAAACCATGCCTTCATTGAGCGTCTCTTGTTGTGCAGGAACCTACCCTCCTCCTTGGCTCGCTTCTCGTCCAAAGGTGCTCTGATGCCACACTTGACTGAGTCATCTACCAACCAGGGTGGGGGGGGGAGGTGGTACCCAGATCGGCGTTGGTGAGACCGGCATTGTCCCAGATGCCATCATCCACATCCAGGGTCGGAATGGCCTTGAGATCAATTGTTGCCAGAATCTTTGCCCCCTTGGGCGCTTGACAGTGAATGGCAAGGTCCGCAAGTTTTGAACAGAGCTTGTTGTACTCCAT